AAGGACATTGCACGTGTTTGAGTGAGATCATAAGATATTGTAGGAAGTTCATTTAGAGATATCACTGACACTGAAGAGTCTGCTTTATCGACCTCGTACAAATTTGGCCGACCTTTCAGCATCCTCTTAAACTTTTGCTGCATGTACTCTTGAATAAACGGTTTATTAAAAAAATATTTTTATTTCTATGTCTAATCAAATACTTGTATGATTTCATATTTGTTTTTGGACAATTTTTATTTATTAAAATAATATTTTTGAATAATATTTTTGGTTTAAGAAAGATGTAACGTACGATACTTTTTTATATACTTGGCGTAATCTTTTTCTTTTTTTTTAAGTATCTTTTTTTCTACGTTTTCAATCGTAGCTCAAAAGGCTTTGTATTATTCGTTCATGTAATCTGTGGTATTGGACGTAAACATTTTGTATATATGAGCTACATAACTTTTACACTAATGAAATGTTTATGTCAGGTTACGGTTAGGTGTCAGCTATACAACCCGAAAAATATTTGTAATATTTTAATTTAATAATATTAAATGTAATATCTTAATTGTTTTCCGATTATACTACAAATTCGTGCGTCTAACACCACAATATGTCTATTTCAATTCTATGAGAGGATTTTCAATTCCGTTCAGTCAATTCGAAGAAATTACTCAACTGCAATGTGTCAGTAATTCCGATCTTCCAGTATCGCCTTAACTCATTTGATTTGTAAAAATCCGTCAGATAGATCGAATTGTATGCTTCACATAACATAAATAAGTCCCTAGGGAACATATAAATCAAGGGAATAAATGAAATGAAAGTGATGATCAAATGACAATACTATACATGCAATAATTAATAGAAAGAATTAATTAATTAAATAAGTAAAAAAGAATAAATAAGTTTGAAAGTCAAAATCTAAAATAAATTAATAAATTAAGAGTAAATAAATTAAAATCTAAAACTAAAACATCAAATAATGATACCAAAAAAAGAGTAAGTCAATCTTATAAAATTTTTAAATACAATAAAAAAAAATTAATATCTTACATGTTAAATCGTTAATATAAACACATCTCCTGCAAGAGGAATTTTAATAGGTTTATATTACGGTTGAAAATGATCATACAGGGACTATGTGAAATAAGTACATGGAAAGGAAAGTGGAGGGAGAGAGGAAGGAGTAGGGATGGAAAGGAGAGATGGTAGCTATTTAGGAGAGAAGAGATCTAACACAGGAAGGTATATGTTAGAAAGGAATACGGTATCACTTTGTTTATTCAAACCTCTTGATTTTTTTTAATGTATACCATTTCTGATATACTTCTTTTTACATCGAACGGTTCTTTATCTAAAATAAAAATTTGTACCATGGTCCAAATTCATGATTTTCCGATAACCGCGATGTCCTGAGGTCATTGAGGATGAGCCACTTCGTTTATTAATATCTAATCTATGTTCTTGAACCCTTTTTTTCAGTTGTCGACGTTTGGTTTGACCAACGTAATTCTCGCGTCACAATTGAGACAATTTATCTTATATACTACATCACACAACACTTTATCTAGGATGTCTTTACCCGTTGTTATAAATCTTCTGATTAGTGTGTGAGGTATCGTATAAAATATTTGGCTGTTAAGTTTTTTGGGAATTGAGGAAAATTTCTCAGATACCGAATTGATGTACGGGACAATAAGTAATTTTTTGTTATCGATCGGAGGGGGATTATTCCTATCATCCGATGTTTTACGAATTTTAAAAAGCAGACACTTTAATCTATCTCTAATAATCATAAATATAAAGTGCAATCACAAGAAAGATTTACTATGCGTACTGCATTCTAAATTATATTCTATGTAGCGATTTTTGTAAGTTGTATGAGGATTTTTATTTGTAATTTACCATTGAAAATGATCGTCCATTTAAAGTCGAAACGTCCGTGAAATCATTGTATATATCTTTTTGTATTTATGTATCTATATAATATATATCACTTTGCAATTTCATCTGGTCTTGGCTCTGTAGCTCTTCTTTTATTTTATTTCGATTGATTTTACCCATAAAATTCGAGAATTATAGAACAAATTAATTTATAAGACTCGAAACCTTTAAATTATGTAATTATACATGAATTATACTACTGTTAACAAAGCAAACGAAATTGACTTACCTGCACAAAATTTATACACTAACCGAAAAAAGGGTACAAATGTTCCCCAAGCAAACTTTAAATGTCTATAATTCGGTAGCTAGCAACTGACTGACGTAAATCGCCGGCCGGCCTAATCCCAATCCCAGATAATGAAAGTGAATTATGGGTCGAGTTCCGAGCCAAAAAATTAGCTTAAAAACGTAATTTAAAAATTCGTTGGGGATACAAATGTATCCTTTTTACGGTTCTAGGGTTAATGATCTCTATCTTTGCATAAGATGTACTGAATTGCAAAGTAACAAATAACACTATGCAACATGAACAATATTTACTCTTAATGAAATTAATTAACTCACGCTTGTTCAATGTCTTTTGGTGGTTTCACTATTTTCGTACGAATATTTTTCGGGTCAACTAAATCGGCAACATACAGTCGTACGGAAGGATTTGGTGTTCCTGGCTAGTAAATACAATACAAACACTTCTAAAGTAGTGTTTTTTTTTCTTCTTTTATCTTGTTGATAAAACATAAATAATATTTTTAAAAAATTTAATTTTAGTAACATATTACAATAATTTTTCGAATATATAGCATACCTTGGGATACCGTAGAGATCGTATATCAGGATATAAAGCTTTTTTTCCTTCTCCAAACCATGAAATGTGCATTTCTTCTACAAGAGAATCATTGAACGAGGCATAAAGCATCATATGACCATCTGGCGACATCCAAATTGCCTCTCCACTGTGCAAGATTTCCTCTAAAATAATTAGATAATAAATTATTCGTTTAGTTTTTATTAAAGATTGTGTATATATTGTCTCAATTTTAAAACTTCTAAGTTTTAATTAGTTGTATTTTCTGGCTTTACCAAATCATGAAATATAAAAGTTAAACAAATTGATAGCTAACCTTCATACAACCAATCTGGTATGCCATTGGACACTATACCAGGCACTGCAGTGTTTGTTACACGATATGCAGTATTGCTAGTAGGACTTGTTGTATAATAAATATCATAGTCTTGTACCATGACGAGTCCATGTCCACGTGGAGTCCATTGTGCTAGTAGAAGATATGGATGACTATTTTTCTCAGGATAAGGTGTTAAAGCTATGCACTCTCTATGAAATTAGTCGTAAAAATTTTTATTATTTTTTATTTATGTATTAATGATATTATTAATAATAAATTTTAATAATCGATATTTTATCTGCACATACGAATAACACTGACCGTGAATCGATGTTATAAACGACATATTGAGCTAAGTATGAGTAACGAAATAGTTTTTTCACATTTTGAGCAAGAAGTAAGAATCGACGATCCGGCGATAAAGAGAATTTTACTGGGTTCAATCGTCTCTGTATAAAAAATGTTAAGATTATAATTTGATTTGAATAAACTAAAAATAATATAATTGAATTTATTTATATAATATTTTTTAAATAAGAACTTACAAATGTCTCATTATGCATCAGTATTAAATTTTTCGATTTGATGTTAGAAACATCTAACAAAGAAATGCCACCCCAAGTGTCTAGAAAACATATATGGTGGCTACTCGCCCAGGATCCATTGAATAATAAAGGAGATAATTCGCCAGAAAGTACCTGAGAGACAGAAATATATCTCTTTAAACCAATCCTGCTTATTCCATAATTTCAAAAAATATAGAATTAGATAAATGTAAAAAACAATTCTAGTATTTCTAAATATATGTAAATGCGCGTATGAAAGAGAGAGAGAAAGAGAAAAAGGGAAAAAGAAAGAAAAAAGGAAAATGGAAGAGGAACGAGCGACAAAGAGAAAATAAAAAAAGAACAAGGGAAAAAAGAAGAATAAACGAATAAGAGAGGAAGAGCGAGAAAAAAAGGAAAAGAAGAATAGAAACAAAGAAAGAGGAAGAGAAGCCATAGAAAACATTTGAAAATGATCGAAATCAATTTTTTATTTTAGTTAAAAAATTAGTTTTTTCCTACATTTTTAGTTAGAAATATATATATATATATATATATATATAATGATTTTTGAATATGTATAACTACTGAAAAAAAGAAGGATTAAAAATATTATCCTTGTGCCTAGTTTGAATATAGATTATTAGTAAATGTTAATAATGGTGCTTGATGGCGAATGCTTGATAACAAATCAAAAATGTAAAACAATTTAAGAGGATAAATAAATAAATAAATAAGTTTTAAATTTAAATTTAATTTTTTATCTAGTGGTATTAATTATTTGTAATTTTCATTTGAAATAAACAAAGAAAAAGAAACAATAAATTATTACAAAAGTAAAATTGTAAAATTGTGACAAAAAATAACATCAAAATCTTTGAAGCATTCTCTAGTTAAATTATATCCTTTATATACTTTTTTCTTGATAAATATTGACTTAATTTTTGGAACACTGTTTTACTGATTAAACGCGATTATTTTTGGATCATATTCGATCTTTTTATTTATTTCACAGAATTATAAATCCTTTTCCAAAATTAAGATATTGACAATAATGGATACAAGCGACATTTCGATACAAAAAGCGAAAGAAATTAGAAAATCTAGAAAATTATCGGCTTTTGCAATTAACTCGTGACAACATATATGTGTTATTGCATATAAAAGTTTTAGACTTTGTACGTATGAAAGAAGTAGAGTAGTCGGTATGGAGATTACATGAAAGAATAATACTTTGTTTTTATTGATGAACCTATAGGTGCTTTAGTATAAAAGTACGGATGATTTAAAAATATTGTATGCGTGCAATATCGATGTAGTAGTAATATCAACAAACGTAAATATCTAAGCTACTACATCAATATCGCACATAATATATGCACAAATTGTCGATAAAACAATGCGATATTATAAATTTCAACCATCATTCCAGCAAATATATCACTTTATAATAATCAGTTTTGGCTTCCATTTTAGATCTGCCATTTAAAATTTGCCAATTATGATTACAGATCTGAAATCAGCGACCTCGAAGTCCTTGAAAACATTAATATAAAGATTTTGAAGATATATTAATTATTATTTTTATCCCAGCATAAATTCTGTGTAAACAAGTGATAATTTTGAATAATTTTTTGTTTCTAACTTATACTTAATGCAAAACAATTACATATTTTTGTTATTCATATAAGTCTTAAGAACATAACGATACCAAATAGTAACATAAATTAATTAATTACCAAACACGCACAAACATATTAAAACTGCAGCGAGAAAGGTGTTTTTTGCAGAAGACAATTATGCAACAAAGAGATAAATAAAACACGTATTATAAAGTATTATAAAAACGTTGAAAATATAAGAATAGTGTAAATATTCTTATATTTTCAATCTCTCTCTAGTGTGGACCAAACTGAACAAAAAAGTCCTTTACCATTTTACGATCTTCGCAATAGTTATTGAGATACTAATCATTTTAAAAAAAGAAAAAATGTTTCATAATGGCCAAGTTTTTGTTTCACTTTAATTCTATTGATCATTTTAATAACTTTAAGTCTGTTTTACGAAACTTAAAGTTATTTGGAAAGACAATGGCATTAAACTTTTGCTGCATATCATTTTGAATAATGTAAACGATTTATTAAAAAAATATTTTTTTAGTTTGGAATAAAATATTTTTGTCTCTACTCTCTGTGTCTAATCAAATACTTGGTAATTTGTATGATCTCATATTTGTTTTTGGACAACTTTTATTTGTTAAAATAATATTTTTGGTTAAGATAAGATGTACTTAATGTACGATACACTTGTATATACTTTGCGTAAATTTTTTTTAATGATTAGTATCTCGATAACTATTGCGAAGATCGCAAAATGATAGAGGACTTTTT